GGCATACTGCCCCAGATGTCCTGATCACGAGAGAGTCAGACAAACTCAGACCAACTTAACCGTGTATATGCATTTCATGGCAATATGAGGACTCTGGTCCGGACATCATCCACCAGAGTGCTCCGATTGTATTCATTGTGCATCTTTAAACTTGAATGCGCACAGAGAAAGAGATATACTACTGAGCAACCCCAGCCTTGTTTTGCTGCACTAAAGAATAGTTATGTGCGTCTAGAACTCAGTGGGACCGCCCAAGTGCAACTCACGGTTTTCGGAGCTGGTTTTGTTGGTTAATGGATAAATTGAAGAGAAAACAGCTTGCCTGACAGAAGTACATAGTGTTCTCTTGAGTTGATGTTTACCTTGATTATTAGAGGACTGAGCACCTTCATTGGAAAGCGCATTATGAGCGCGAAAATGGCGCCCCACATCAAATTTCGTCTCGCAGTGTCCGTTGTCAAATAAGGTTGAAGTCCTGCGCCCAACAAAGGCTTCGGTCGCTCAATCCCTCGGAACAAATCGGTTCGCTCAAACTCACAGAAGCCTAAAAAGACCATATATCATGTTCACGGAGCGGATTTTTACGTTTCCTGTTTGAGTCCAGTTAACTGTTTGTTTCTTCACTCGGGCCTTTTGTACTTTTAACCGAATTAGTGGGTCTCGAAATTCACTGGCCTTCCACCTTTGGTCTCACTGTGTCTCTACTGTGGATTTCTCGAATCTTTTACTATGTTCCTTTACTTTATTCGTATCCTTCGCCTTGTATTTTTCAAATGCCGTTGAATAAGGTGCCGCTACCTTACATGAGCTCTGCTAACCCGGTCAAAACACTGTTCGTCATCAGACAGACGAACAGGGGAGTTGGAAAAGACTGAAAGACTAAGGCCGTTGGATAACACAGGATCATCTGTGGTTCGGTGCAAGTCAGTCCTAAACAATCATGTGTTAACCAAAAAATTAAACGGAATGAACTAAGATTGATAAACCTTCGGATACAAAGCCCCCAACGAACAAAACCAGGGGTGGCCCGTCAGAGAGTTATCATCAACCTCATATGCATTCGCTACTTGGTTAATTGAAGCATCATTGATCAGGAGTTCCCAGTTTAGTTGTTGGCGTTCTGTGGGGTGCAAAATAGTTTTCAGATTGAAAAACGATTTTTGATTATCGCTGATAGCATTAAGCGAGTTTCTACCCACAGCGCAATGTTTACCAAAAATTGAAACACCCAAAGATGGTGCTCTCTTTTTTTTATCATGCACGAACTTTCAAACTTGTGTATGAACGACATTGTTTCCCGTAAAGACATAGTTGAACTCAGTTACTGACTAATGATAATTGAATTGTAATTTACGTAACAATAATTTACTGTAAGCGGAAAACGTGTATCTGGGGTAATTTTTGTCTAATTTACTGGAAAGTTAATCCTTGTAATTTACGTAACAATAATTTACGGAAAACGTGTATCTGGGATCATTTTTGTCTAATTTACTGGAAAGTTAATCAGAACTGCGGTTTGTTGGTAGTGTGAGGAGATTTGAGAACTTTCAATGGGAATTTCGTTCTGTCAGTAAAGTCGATCTAAGCTGGAAAGCCAAGAAGTAGTGTATACCAGCTTTTTCCTTATTGAGAATCACCAGCAATGCGCGTCTCACGAAGCTCCAGGGATTCTGGAACCCACAACATTCCGGCTAGTCGTTTGAACACAGTCTTTTGACTACGAGCGGCTGATCAGCGATGTATGTATGTGAGTTTGGTGAGGAACTGTTGAGTCCCAACAGGGATGAAAGCTATACAGTTCTTCTCGGCTTTGCAACGTAGGTTGCCTCTATCTACAGGACGGAATTGTGTGCTCGTCTTCGAGTTATCTCTCTTTGATTAGAGTTCACCGCCTAATGGAATACCATCTTCCGTTCCCCCTGGATTTACAATCTCAAAAATATAGCGAGCAAAATTTCAGCCACGCTGGCCTCTGACAAAGATCACTTCTAGCAGAGGTAAGAAGAAGATATCAATACTAAGTGTATTTTTATGGTCGAGATAAACTCTTGAATAAACCACTGGCACCACTCCGGCCACAAACATTAACGCTCAATAAGTGAGCGTTCATACTGCAAGTGAATATTGATCCAGAGTCACGTGAGGGTTGCGCCTGAATTAAGAGTCACTCGCCCAATTGTCTGTCGCCTCACTGAAAAGGAATGCCGACCAAGTTAANGTATAGCTACGTGCAATTCATTGTTGCTGGTGAGTGATTTTTTTATGGTGACCAATGGCATCGTAGTAACGGGACTACAACTAACAGCTCTACTATGTTGACTAACGTCTGTGAAACTGCAAATGGAAAGTAGAGCAAACAAATGATAGTATCCCCAAGAAACGGGTATTCGGAATACGCGTAAACGCAGACGTTTCGACAGACGGACGGTCTAAGGATGAAGATCGAAAGAGAAATGATCGATATACGGACGCCTGACAACACAGCCAGCATGCGTTACATTAGCGGTCAACAGGCCCTACAGGTGAATGACTCAAAAAGATGGGGAAAGTATTCAGTATCTCCTAATCTGCACGTGCTGAATAGATGCTTCTTACGACGAGAAAACTGTGAGGAACGGTCGTACTAAAAGCGATCAACAGAGGGAGACCACGTCATGTTTGGTTATAGGTGGCGAGGGTCAGTTACTGATTGTCGCTCGCTCTGTGACTGCTATACGAATTCAGATCATTCTCTTGTTTGTTGCTGCTTTTCGTTGCTCTTCTCAGAGAAGCGCAAGTTGCGTATACCTTGCCTGGCCATTGAAAAGCTCTCAGACCCTGATTTGAAGAGACCTGCTAAATAATCTATTTGGGATAATAGGAATTGTGATATAGACTACACGGATGGTTACGTCTTCAACCCTGAAAGATGTGGAGCGCTCCGCCTGTAAAACGGTTTAACCGGTTAGATCTAAGCACAGAATATTGAGCAACACTCCAAAATTGCTGAAAGATAGGACACAAATTCCCCCTGGTGTAAAACGCGATGCAACTCGGCCAATTACGGTTGCTTAACCGGATCCCTGACCCGCAACGCAGCCTTACACAGTGAAATTGAAACCTCAGACGGATTCGGAAATAAGCTTATGCCTTTTGTCTCTCAAGCATAATCGAGCTGCTGGTCCTGACGAACTCCCACCCAATCTTGGTTCAGATGGAGGTGAAATCGTTAGTCTGTCTGGGGGAAAGAGACTGTACCAATTAAATGGGGTGAGTTGATTGTGGTATTTAGTTACGAAAAGGATTATTGCAGTGAATGTGGTAGTTACGGAGGAATTAGCTTGATCAGCCTGTTTGCGTCACTCACTTTGCGTTGTCTTACGAGGGCGCGTAAAAACAGTGTCCGGGAACAAAAAGCAGGATTCCGGCCAAGAAGGGATTCTGTCGGCCACATCTTCACGCTCTTTCAAGTACTACAGAAAGGGCATGCTTATGGGCGCCCTACATTATTTGCGTTCCTTGACTTCAAGAGTGTCTGTCAACCGGTTATTTCTTCATACCAGGGTTTCGCAACAACTTATGCCCAAGAAGTTCGCGAATATCACGCATTGTTTGTATTCACATACCAATGGCCACAATATAGTATATGGGATACTAACCAGAAGCTTTCCTACAGGAGGTGATATTCGGTGAGGGTGTACGCTCTTCAGATTTTTGTTTGATTTCTTCAGTGATGAAGTAAGGAGGCGAATTCTGGAAAGTCTTTTCAGCTGTCTCCGAGCGAGAACCATGTCAGCCTGGATTATGCAGACGACATTGCTTCTCATTTTTGAGTAAAAAAGCAAAAGTCACAAGCCTTACTTAGAAATCTGACCGAGATCGTCCAGTCCTTCAGCGTATGCTTCACGTTCACAAAGTGCAAAGCAATGCTGCGGTACGTGCAGTATTTGAATATATATATATAAACATGTCGGGTCCAAACTTGTCACAACGTTTGGCGATGTGTTGCTAGAATGCATGCTCAACTGCCCAGGTGGAAGGATTATGCCTCGATAGACTCGACCAGCTTCAGAACCTCAAGGTGCCTTCTCGTCATGTACGAGAGTTTTCGGTGTACCAGATCACACATCAAGTAAATCGCTCCACTGACAATGCCTGGGTCTGATAAGGACTAGTTTAACCGGAGGAGTGTGTATTTCCTACGACCCAGTTGGAGGAAAGTGAATAAATACGTTGCTACCAAGCTCACCAATGATGGTGGCTGCATTTAGACTGAACAGTAAGGTGAGGTGAGATCACATAACCAGAAACTACACAGCAACGTGAGTCGGATTTTCGATTACAGGTCACGATGAACTTGTAAATACCAGTTGTCTGGTGTGAAAAGGTCGCAGGAAACCATCAGTGCACTGGTTTGATGAAGTAATGCAACACCCGCCCGATGAGCAAGAGGTCGTGAGCTCGAGTCTTGTGTACCAGGTCTCTGTTTTTCCTGCTTCGGTCCGCTTTCAAGTTCAAATATATGTTCGATTGTGTCATAGCAAGCCATTTTAGTATGGATACTAATGAAAGGCAGTTTAGTTCCATTGGTTGGTTTTTTCTGTATTTCGCAACACAACAATTTGTAATGCACTATACTTTGAGTTTGCTACTTTAAAAATGAAAAAAACGTAATAAGGCTGGATCAGTTAGATTCCATACTAAATGACTCTACGTTGAACGTTGGCTACAAAGCCAAAAAATGACAGTGGCTTTAAGAATATTTTGCTGCGTACAGAGGGAGAGAGAAATTTTCGAAAGACTCTCTGAACAAACAGCGTAATCTTGGCTTCAGTTTTACGCCTCAAAAACAGTGTTTCTCTCTTTTTCTTTTGATATCCTTCCCCGTAGCCGATGCCACCTCAAATCATACGTCCAACCCATGGGAAAACGCTGCCAAGATTCTAGCCAGCTGGCATTTCTCGGAGTTTGAGACACACATAGCGATATTGATTTTCTTACTCTGCGTGATCCTACTTCGGATGATCTACGAACACCTCGGATTGTTCACGACCTGGATTCCCGAATCATTCGTCCATCTGTCAGCTGGAGTGGTTTTCGGCTCCGTACTTCGCCTGACCACAACCGAACAAGGGAGGAGAAAATGGGAACTCACGCCAAGTCTGTTTTTCAACTACCTACTTCCACCGATTGTGTTAGATTCGGCCTATTGCATGTACAATCGAGCGATCGCCGAGTATATCGGTGCAATCATGACCTTTGCTGTGTTTGGAAGCATTCTAAATTCCATTCTTACTGCAACACTGATGTGGATACTGTATTTGTGTGGTGCCTACGGACCTTTTAACATTAACTTGGAGTTTAAAAGTTTTTTGCTGTTCAGTACAATCATTTCTGCTGTTGACCCGGTCGCGGTGTTGGCAACGCTTCAGGAGATTCGGGTGGAACTTGGTCTGTACTACACAGTATTTGGGGAATCCCTGTTCAACGATGCCGTCATTGTGGCCCTGTACGGAACAGTCACTTCGTTTTCACACCTAGAACATGTCACAGCAACTCACGTTATGTATGCCATACTGTCCTTGTTCACAGTCAGTATCGGTGGACTTGTGGTTGGCGCGCTGTTCGGCGTTGTCACGTGTCTGGCCACCCGATGCCAGAGCAATTTCGGTGGAGTGCTTGTATTGACAATCAGCTATTTCTCCTACATCATGGGTGACTGTCTTGGCTGGTCCGGGTTGATGGCTTTGATCTGCTGTGGTCTGATCCAGACTGCCTACGCATTTCACAATCTTAGTCAAGTTTCTGTGGTAGTTGTGAGGAAAGTGACTAAGAACATCGCAGAGATAAGCGAGTCAGTCATATTTCTATTCATGGGGCTCGAACTGGTGTCGCGCCCTTTTGAGTGGCATACAGGATTCTGTTTGTGGGCCCTGATAGCATGCCTACTGTCTCGAGCTATCAGTGTGCTGACATTGGCCAATGTTTTGAATTTTTTCTCAGACCAGTACGACCGAATTTCAGCAACGGAGCAAATAACGCTTATTTATGGTGGGCTCCGTGGCGCTGTGTGCTTTTGTCTGGCAGTCCTTGTGAAGGAGCACTATTTCCGCACAGACGGTGAATACAAACGTCCTCTGTTCATCACAGCCACAATGTTCATCATCTTCTTCACAATCGTACAAACGTCCTCTGTTCATCACGGCCACAATGTTCATCATCTTCTTCACAATCATCGTCATGGGTATGACCATACGACCATTGATTATGTGGTTGCGTATCCCGCTGCAGCGTGAAGAGAAGCTTAGTTTGTTCCACCAATTGAACGAACACATTATCGATGAGTCTTTGTGTGCGGTGGAGACGATTTTGGACCGCAAAGGCCGAAACAGAGTACGTGACTGGTTCTACGACATTGATGACCGATACATTCGCAAATGGCTACAACGCGACCCGGAGACCCACAATCAGAAGATTGTCAAGTTGTACGAACAGATTGCATTGAAACTGCACTACGCCGTGATTCAGCCGGCGAAGTCAGAACTTCATCTGGACAAGATCCCCGATGGAATCAAAATGCACTACACACCAGTAGGCGGCCCGGCAAAGCTAGCTGAATCGATGCTATCCGGAAGTCCTGCTGAAGGGCAACAGATTTCCAGGTTCATCTATTCACCAGCTCGAACACGTAATTTAGATTCTGGTTCCTCGGTTATCTGCTCAGATGACGAATTTCCCGCTCACATGAAAAAAATAGTGCGTCCCTCAGTCAAGTGGATGCGGAACTTCGCAAGATGGAGATTATGTGGACGACGGAAAAAGGTGGAGCTAAACCGACCGTCCATGACCGAAAGCTTCAGTGGCACCAGTACAGGAGTAGCTAACCTTGAAAATTTAAGGAGATATCTCCGAAGTAGTCGGGTGGAGAGTTTCCTCTCTACTTCCTCAGCACAACATCCATTCATGGACAACCTCGTCGATCTTTTGGTCTCGAAAACACTGATCGCATCCAAAACGGATGATCAAAGAGATATCATCAACTCTACCACATTCCATAGGGGAAGACAAACCCTAGTCTCGACAGCTGACCCCGTATACTTCGGTTTGAACGAAACCGATAGGGATGTCCCGGTGGTACGTCCACCTACTCGGAGATTTAGGTCAATTTGTACAGGTAGGAGAATTAGATCCAGAATGTGCGATTTTCTATGGTGTGTACCCAACTTGGGAACTCCAGCCCCACCTACTGCACACAGACTGGCTACGAGTGTGGCATCCAGGGACATTAGTCAATTCTTCTTGACACAGGAAGAGCCGGCTCAACTGAATAGCATTCAGCAACGACGTATTGCAGCAAGACGAATCAGGCAATCAATATTCGAAGTCTGAAGTCAAGAAGACTGCATTGATAAGTGGATTTTCTTCGGATCAGTTTTAAATAAACACACTGAACAGTACTTTAGCCTTTTTGACAAAAGTACGTCTTCTAACCAAACGGTAATGAACTAAGCAGATATTCAGATAGGTTTCTGAAGGTTAGTCACGCGTGCTAATTATGGAGCTCTGAGTGACTGACTATCTGAGCGCAAGTTCATTGACAACGACCAGGTAGCCCCACTGAAGCTCCTCACCACACAGCACTTACTTTCATGGTGTACGAGCCCTTCATTTTAAGATCTTTCAATACGATTGTTGGTCCTGGTGCTGATCTATCTGTAGTATAACGCGCTAAATATTCTTAAACAAAAAAAAAGGCCAGAAAAGAGCATGTCGTGACATTGTCATAACTCTAGCACATTTTGTCATCCTCTTGTCCGATTTCGTTCAGGTTCAGCTGCACATTAAGGAAGGATAGTAGACCGCAGCTATCGCACTGGATGAAAGGTACGATCATTCGCACAAACCCTCCTCTGTTGCAGGTATTTCATAGCTGGTCCAACTAAAGACTGTGAGTGGTCTTGATGTTACGAGGCAGATCATGGACTCCTGCGGCTTCCTGAAGTCATATTAGGTAGGGAGGTAGGGAAGGAGGTAAGCAGGTAGGTAGGTAGGCAGGCAGACGGACAGTTAGAAACGAGAAACGTTGGCTGTATTGGGCAAATGACTTAACCGCAGAAGTACTAGTTTCAGTGGCTATATTTACCTCTGGCGTGATTGTATGGATGTTATACGGTCATCCATGACATTGCCCAGTCTTATTTGAAGTCAGTTCACAAATCTCCATACAATCACACGGGGTTTGGCAAGATGCATAGTGATTTGATTACCAGTCTAGATGACACTGAGCTGAAGAGAGTTCAGTGGTTTGGGCGCGAGCTCACTGACCGGAAGGTTCGTGGACCACTGCGTCTTGAATGCTTCCGTCCAGTTCTTGGAATCTGGTGAAATCTTAGCCCTTGTATCTCATTCGAGTGGCATGGCATCACAAGAGCTTGTTGACAGTTGTTTTGCTGACAACTCGAGACCGGAAGACCCAGATTCGATTCATCCAGCACGACGAAAATATTTCAAACACGGCTGTAATGACAATAAAGGATGATTTAGGAAGAATGTTCCAAATAGGACTGAGGGCATGCTGAAGGACGGTGCTCTGCGGATTTCCTTTGCGATTATAGTAAAAGAGCCCTGAAGAAAAGTTAGACAGATTAAACTGAAGACAACCTTGCTTTTGCCGGATACTTGGGTGTGTGCAGACAACATGTGGGGATCCTGCTATACTCGTGAGGAGGGCGTCCGTGTAGTTGTGTAGACCAATCAAATGCAGTAGACATTTCCAACACCTCCCCGAATCCTTACGACATTTTTACTTAGAAGAGCTTGCTTGTTATCTCAGCTACTTCAACAGAAATGGTACCCACATACTCCACGTGCCGAGTGACACCGAGCTGAATGGAAACTTGGAGGGTAGTAAGCAAAAGGTCCGCGTTTAAGATCCACGCAGTTAACTGCTTCTGTTTAGCCAAATATAACTTGAAAAGGTCTTAGTATAAGAGTACCATGTTATGCATGGAAACATGAGTGCGTTCCACTCATAACGATGAAATCGGCTAGGTCCGTTATTCGGACTGCAAACACTACGACATATAATTCGGGGAAGGTGAACCAATCAGGACAACTGAAAAATTGACTGTCAGATCAAAGTCTATTTGGATAGTGATTGTTCTATATACCAGGTCGACGCTGTAAAAAAACAACCATATCAAAACTAAGGAAAACCTAGTGAACAGAGTTTGAAAACTATCACAAGCTTTCGTAATGTACTACTCATAAGTTTGCTGCAAATTCTACGACAGCCCACGACCGGTTTCGCCCTCCTTGGGGCTCATCAGGTAGGCGCAGTCCCTGACTTTCCTGGAAACATCACAGATGAGAGATTCAGCTGGGTTTCGGGTGAGTTTCTCACAAAACTAAATTCGTTTGCAAATGAGTGTATTTCTCCATCACAGGCTGCTACACAATCAGGTCTGAGTTAGATTGAAGTGGGTATGTATAGTGCGACGGGATGATTGTACTAATGTCGTGTGGCAGAAGGGAGCTGTACCATGCCACATCGGTTAGCCAATCCGAAATCTTGATTTGTACATCATCTCCCTCACTGGTGCCAGTTCACTGTTCGTTTTACTTGATATTAACAAGGCCATCTGTTGTTATCTACCGCATTCGGTTCAGAGTAATGTAAACATGGTGTATATTGCACCATTTTCGCCAGAAAGCCTATGCACGAGGCACAGTAGTCCCAATGACCACATTTCCACTGTATTTTATTCATAATGATCTAATTTCTCGTATGAAGTGAGTCTGAAAAGCGAAGCTTTGGATTTCTGTCTAGGATATGCTCTTTCTATATTAAAGCAGTAGAGGGTAGTCTCACGTTGTCAGCAGCTTATATTTGTGCTAACGTGTCTGCGAGTAAAGTTTGCAGAAGCCGGATTTAGGCGAAGGACATTATTTGGAGAATGAAGATGACAGGTGTTTTTCCATTCTAAGTGCCTATCTCAAACTCATGCAACTAGCCCGAAAACCACCACAGCGCGCTTCCAAAATGAGTCGAGTGGTAGGTGTTAAGTTCTATCCTCTGTTCCGAATTCGGGCGGTTAAGGTACGATTTTTCTATTAGCTACTTATAAGTAGTTTGGCATCAAAGTATTTTGTTTGGGCCAGTAATGACATCACAGGGGGATAAATTGAAAGCGGATGTACTGTGCCAATGAGGTCGTATGGTTAGAGTACGATCATTTTGAAATGGTTGCTCAAGCGTGGTTTTACATATGCTCCCATAAAGCAATTAAAAAAGCGATTCCGGAGACTAATTTTTTTCCGGAAGGGACAGCGTCCATACTTTGCACTCTGGCTAATTCACTACCTGGTGGAATTTCATACGTGACCAATTGTTGGACATTCCTGCATTCCACAAGATTGTATATCCTACAACTAGCTGGAAGAATACTTTGGATATCCAAAGCCCGATAATCTGGTGATCTACGGGAAATCCATTCTAGTTCATTTTCATTGAAAAGGCTGGGAGAGTTAATGCACAGCACTATTAATCCCTCAGTGATGTTGTAGTGGTCGCTCAATCCGATTAATGTATCCGCGTCCACTATCTCCCTCGTGGTTTGCTTTGTTCCACATACCACAACGTGCATCACGAAGCAACATTGTGACATGAATACGGCTTTTGGTCAACAACCGGTTCCGTGATCTCGCTAGGGGCGCAGTGTGATTTCCGACATATATCCGGAGTTCAGACCAAGGATATGCGCCACTCTAATGAGCTCTAATTGGAGCACAAATCGAGTTCAACACTTCCCTCCTTTTAGGCTCACCAGAAAGATTGCACCAGGACAAGACAAATGTTCAGACGAGAGTGATGTGAATACTAATCATCATATCCTCGTTTACTGGTGATTGGTCAATACGGAGTGCAACACATGTCCATGTCGCCCCCATATCATTTGGCCTTTCACAGTCACATGACGATCACTCACTCTGGTAGTTAGTTTGCTTGCTTGGACCCACCAGGTGGATGAAATGCTCACAACCGTTTGCATCTAAAGACAGTATGAAAACGGCAATTGTTATGCTTCAAAGTGCAAAACACTGGAATCAAGAACTGTGCCAAAAACGAATCATATTTCAGCGAATAGATTGTTTTTTTACAACTTTCTGTGTTTGGTTTCTACTGGCCTTTCTTTTGGAGAAACTCTTTTTGGTCGTTTTTTCAAGATAGTTTGTCCAGAGGAAAACGCAAAGCGGTAAACTCCTAACTTAGGAAACTGCGGAAGTAGTCAGTTCTCATGTAATGACGAGAGAGGAAACAACAGAACAGTGGTGACAGAGTTACAAAGTATGCGAGTGACGAATCGATCAAGAATCACCGTATTTTTCAGAACAATTTAGAAGTTCAGACGTCTAGTCCCAACACGCAGTGGTATGTATGTTGGTTGGATTTGGGAGCGCCGCGCAGTCTGTGGTTACCCGTTCATTGTGAATGCTTTCCCAGTGAATGCTATCCTGGGCGAGGAGGTGCTTTACACGTTTCTGTGCATTTACCCGGTTCCTGCAGACAGATCATCTTTGTCCACGAGTTACTCCAAAGTTATATCTTTCAACCAGTCACTGCACAATTTATTGGATGACTGTGAAATACTTAGCGAATAGTCGAAATTGGCGTCTCTTTGCTTTCCGAACATCTGCTGCCTTATGGTTTGAAACAGCGCATGGCAGCTGTTGAGCATACCCCAATTTTGAGGTTCCTTCGCACCGCTTTATTTCTCACCCGATAACTTGTGCATCAGTCCCAAGCTATTTCCATTTTCTGCATCCTCTCGTTGCAAAATTTTGGGCTTGATTCTAGGCCTTCCTAACTGAATTACTGGGGGACATTAGCCTCCTAAATGAATTACTGGGGGACATTAAAAGTAGCTATTTTCAAGTCTCAAATAGCGTGTGTGTACAGGAGTTTTTGTTGTATGTTTATGGCATGTGGCCTCTGCAAGCATCGGGACTGAGACGTCTTCAGGTGTTCGCCAATCGCTGTCTCACGACCAAAGCTCGTGTAGGTTGGCGTCAGAGAAAGCGTAACGAAACGATTAGGAAACAAATGTTCCGTTGTGTATAAGGGACTTTAGTCGAACTGTGTCCGGCATCAAAAGCTACAATGGTTAGGTCATGTATTACGCACGCCGAACGAGCGTTTGCCGAAGAAGTCGCTTTTTTCCGTGATGAATTCAGAATGGCACCAGCAGAGAGGTGGCTGTGCTTTGACATGACAGAGGGAAATCAAGTAGATTACGGTGCTCCTAGCCTTCCAGGATGGGGTCAGTGTGCTATTGGATATCACTGGCGTTCATGTCGCCAATTCCCGTCCAGATTGTCTGAATAAGTGTCTGAAGGTGTGGACATTTAAACTGATCGTGATAGGCTGGCACTAGGTCTCTCTCAATTCACCTTCGTCCTCTTCTTCATAGCCAGGCTTTCAAGTAGATTACGGTTGTACTGGAGTCTGTCATAATGGCACCCTCTATATGTAACAGTCTCTGACATAAGGCAATTTAGAGCCGTCGCATTTAGTTGTGTCTGATTCTCCTGCTATTTAGCATCTCCTTGTAGGGAGCCACTGTGAAATCAAATCAAATTCATAGAGTCGTCGCATTTAGTTGTGTCTGATTCTCCTGCTGTTTAGCACCTCCTTGTAGGGAGCCACTGTGAAATCAAATCAAATTCAACGTTACACCGCTGAAATTTGCGTTGGGTGATGTCCAGTTAGACGTTCTGAACAAACTTAGAATCTAACCCTAGATGTCAAGCAAACAAACAAACATATTGCACGATCATTTCGTGTTATGCAACTTTTGAATAGGTACCCGATTGTTCAAACAAAGTCGACTTTCTGGGGCACCAAAACGACTGTTCTAAGTGAATTTACAGGTGGTTGCTGGAGTGAGATTTTTCACAGACCCAGATTTTCACATCCGGTTTCACCTTCACTCTTAACAAGCTCCTAAGAGCAGACATATTCGTATTCATAAGGTGATTTATGGAATTGTGTGGGGAAACGTCAGAGTGAAGAACTTGTTGATCAAATCGAAGCCGGCACCCAGTCGAATGCGGACTGTGAACGCTCAATGATCAGCATATATGCGTGTCACCAGTGACATCCACCTGATGTGCTAAATAAAACAAACTGCCATTTACGGAGCTTATAAGTGACTCAATACTAATCAATAAAAATGTGGACCAAATGTGATACCATCCACCGTTGACACCAGCTGCATTGTGGTCAAAACTGCAGTTGATGCACAAGCGCTAAGAAAAATCACGCGGCATCAGTGATAAACACTGATGTTATGCTGTCGATGAGAGATATGCGTAGCTATTTGGACGCTACACGAATCTGATCGGATATCCGATCAATAATCGGAAGTGTGAGGAAAACTGAGCGCCGTTCAGGTCTACATTGGGGCTTTATAAGGGGTCAATCTAACCAAGTTTCCTAAAAAAAGCCTCCATGAAACTTACATAGCCCTCAAGCATTTACAAACAAAGTTTACGATAACGGGAGGCTATTGAATCTTTTGCTTATGATATTGTTTAACCGTATGTACTGCCCAAAGCCGTCTTATGTTATATTTGGTAGAACATTGGAGATGTTGCTGTCCAGACGGAACACATTACTCATAAGGCAGCTGAAAACTCTTCGATGGTCCATGACCGGTTTTGCCTTTCCTGGGCTCATCAAGTAGGCACAGTTCCAGAGTCTTCGTTGGCCTTGTGTTCCGCTTGAGCCTCGATTGGAAATGCATTTCTTTTCCGGTGTTCAGTGTTTTGGGGGGACAGATTCATCCATCGCATCTTCGGCAGAGTCTTAGTAAAAAATGCATGGTTTGGTAGGCCACGATTGCGCGCTCATGGTTTATCCAGTCAGTGACGTTCAGGAAATCACTCATTTGTGTCTATCGACTCAAGTTACTCTCAAACAACTTAGCAGATCCACACGGCTTCAAGAAGGCTTATCGCGGTAAGTCGGTAACGTCTGCGTTCTCGATCAAGTCATAAAAAAAAGAAATCGTTGTTCCACGGAAATACCCAAATGCCCTTGTCAAGAGATTGAAGCTTGACAGTATTATTTGCCCGCCACTTGGCCTGCAGAGGTGCAAGCCTGAGATGTTGACACAAAGGCAAAGTAAAGTCTCTTCAGCAAGTTTAATTGCAAACGTCGGGTTGTGTGTATGGGCTGTCGGTTGGCCTGGTCGCGGTTAAGCGCTTATGACACTTTCGGTGAGCTGAACACTGATTTTACCTTATGGCTTATGTCAGATGCAGCAGACGTGAACCTACATCCACGCAAGGGTTCATTTCTTCTTCGAATGTGCTTGCCTGAGGGAAATCCTCACGTGACCTCTACAGCAAACTTATTTTTTTTAATTTGTTCATCGGCTACGCACTTGCCCAGTTGTTACAAACAAGATCGCTCGAGACGTGAAATCATCGGGTGTCCACCTTTACGTTGCATCCGCGCAAATCGCCTAGAGCAACGTCAATGACTGTGACCCGCTTCAACATGAATGCTCGGAGTTGAAAGAGGCTGCTGCTCCAAAAATCCTGCCGGACCCGATATCCCGGGATCTTTCCGTTTCCCAAAGGATTCTAAACATGACAAGTCTGTTTACTAGTATTCGGTTAGATCCCGAACTAATCAAGGGCAACTGGTATAGTGGAGCTAAATCGAGTTGCCGCAGTGATGCGCAGCATACAAGTGCATTGTACGTTATCGTCAAGGGGGAGGGAACACCAAAGGATATCCCTTGGGTTCTTTAGTCGCCTTGGATCGGCACGTCCATAGGCTGTCTATAGACCAAACCTGAGAAAACCCGGGGTTCCGGTTTATAAAAGAATGGATTAGCCAACCGGAGTAAAAAGCGGTATATACGTGACTGAATTTTGTCTAACTAAACTACTGAGGGCCCACTGAGTGCCCGCTCGATTCACCGATTGACCGTTGGTTGACTGGCCAAAATGGATAACCTGTCGGCAGAATCGCGACCCAAAGGATCACGTGGATTCAAAACGACAGAAATCATGTGAACGGCGCGCGACCAGTGCCCACACCGATCTCGGGGAAACAGGAAAGCATCATACGAAAACTAAATAATTTACTGGCGCTTCGTCTAGACAGAAAAACCAAAGAAGCGACTTTACACAAACAGTGAGTTTGAAGACAAACATATCAAAAAATAACGTGTGCAGGAGGTAGAAACATGCAGAAGGAAGTGATGATCTCTCAGTGAAAGACTAGCTTCGTAGAGGTTTGGACGATCGATCAGGATTGGTTTTCACGCCATTTTTGGTATTCTTCAAGGGCGCGACGAACCAAACCGGTGGTAATTCCGTTTGGGACATGGTGAGCGTGCAACCCAAGCTGTTTTGCATCCCGAATATTCCAGTCCAAGTCGTCGAAAAAGATCATCTCATTGAAATGCACACCTGTTTTCTTCGATAACCTGTGGGAGTCAACAGCGTGCAGGGGTGTAATGAAGTCGAAGAAAAAGTAAAACTTCATAAAGTTGGAGATTGAAATCCCCAACTAATTAAAGAATCTTTGGAGCAAGTACAGAGTATCAGACCGCACAAAAGCGGTATTCTTTTTGTACACATGTGTCACCCATTGTGGATTGCGTTGCTGACATTTTGATCCAGTCCGGAAAATTACAATAAGAGGGTTGGAAACGGAATCGAAACGTGGACGTCAGCTTCTGGGCTATCAGGAGGCACCTCGCCTGAGCCTGGCAAATGAGGAAATCCGTAACCGGATGTATCGGGTACCATAGAAGACAGATCATCCACACACTCTACCCTTGTGATTCGAGCTTTTATTGCCTGACGTAGAAAACTACTAAAAAGGTAGCTGAAAACTCTTCGATAGTCCATGACCGGTTTTGACCTTCTTGGGGCTCATCAGGTAGGTGCAGTTACCGGATTTCTGTCAAACTTACACGCGGCCTTGCATGCAAATGAATGTATTTGCCGAAATCTGTCCAATTTGGGTAGAACACAAAATTGACGGAAACTCAGAGACTGCGCCTACCTGATGAGCCCCAAGAAGGATGAAACAGTCATGGGCTATCAGAGTTTTTAGCAGCTTTATGAGTAGTGTATTACGTCTATACAATGTATCAAGATACCTCAAATATCGTACGAGGTGAAACACAAGGAGGCCTGGTGCAGTGCATTCAGTTGCTTAAGAACACAATAAACGAGAGATTCAGCTGGGTTCCAGGGTGAGTCTCCCGTCAAAATCAGATCGGTATGCAAATGATTGTAGTTCAGTACTTATCTTTGTTTAGATAGTCTGCAGGAAAAGATAGTGGATAGATGAAGCATTTCACACCAGCCACGATCAACGATGTCACTCTCTGGAAGAAAGCTAACTTTCCTTACCCCGGGTGGCCTGACTGCTATCAGGTGGAAGCGAATACGATCGACGAAACTGGGGGCGAGATGGCCCAAGTGGTTAGAGCGCGAATTTACTGACCGAAAGGTCCGTGGTTCGAACTCGACCCCTTCCTCTCGACTTCCCCTGTCTAGGCTTGGGCAAACTGGTAGTGCAACCTAGCCCTCGTGCAACCTTCGGGTGGCATGGCAGTTAGGCACCGAAAGGGTACTACAGCTGGACGGCCAATGGGAGCCAGGGAGTTTATTAGAATGCAACGTGGGATGAACCAGACCAAAATGTAACCTCACCCCCAGGTAAACAACTGTTTGTGTGAAAAACATGGTAGTTAGTTTTAAAAATGAGCCCAGTACATGGAGGAGCAGTTCGGTTGCAACCACCACGAACAGACGATGTGACGGTTTATGCACTTCCATGGCCCATTGGGTTATACTCTTGCGTGTCTGAGCGACACTCTCATTTCGTCTTACCAGGTTGGTCAATGGTTGATAAAAACACAGCTTCCTGATTAAGGCTTGAAAAATGCGTGGCGATTTATTCTTTGAAATAATGCACTAACATTCTTTGCTAAACGGCTGTCAGGAATTTGAGCTGAATCCGTGGATTGACGGTCCTGATCATCATCCTGTCTAAGTTTGGGCACTCTGGCAGTATCCCAGCTTCTGAAGGGGAAGTGCTCGAAATACCCGAACATCACGTCGGTTGGACGGATATGCATTTACTGGTCAGAATGGGAGCCGATCAGAATCCGCTCGGCCCCTCTCGCAATATCACAAAGATTCTAGGTACGAATCGCAAATTCTAATTTAAGACATCTATGACAACGACGTTGCATATCTCTGAATTTCAGGGGACATGTAAATCAGATCACAGTAGGGGCTGTTTTGTTGTACGGTTATGGGACACCGGAAACACGGTACATTCAGGTGTGCGATAGCCGCTCCACAGCTTGTGCAGAGTGGTGCCAACGAATCAGTAAAGGGAAAGTTAGAAGCGAGTATCCGATTGTGTAATGGGGAATTCAATCGAAGAATATATCCACTACCGAAACCTGTAGTGATTTGGTCAGATACTGCGCATACAAATCATCGTCTGCGGAAAATTCCGTACCAAATTCAGACTCACACGAACAGAGAAGTGGTCAACCTTTGACATGGGAAGACAGGCCTGAGAGATTACGAAAAACCGATACTGTTGGTGCGCCCCTCTTTCCAGGGTGCATTCCGGGTGGCCTCCTTGTACACTGTTCGAGAAACTGCAAGAGATGGCCACCAATCAAAGCTCTCGTTGTCAGTTTCCATTCGGATTGTCCGGATGAGTGTCTAGAGGTGTAGGCACCCCTAATTAATGGTGGTACGTTAGTACCTTTTGTTCTTTTCCTCACAATAAGGTTTTCAGATAAGTTGTAGCGAAGCAGTGGTGTTCAACTGTAGTAGCCGCCTTTTCTCAGCTTAGTTCTGCGTCTGTAACTTCCAAACTAGCGTTCCCGTCAAAGCAACCACCAAAGGTACACAACCTGTATTAACACCCAGAACCAGGTGAAAACACAAGTACAGAGTTGTAACTTCTACGCCCTTCTGAGGACATTGGCAACCAGCATTCGGCAGATATTGGATCATGCATAACTACTGGGTTCAGATTTTCGATAAATCAGAGCTTGCGTTGAAGATGGACTGGAAAGCGGCCCGATCTTATGGCTAATCGCACGTGGGATAGGCTTCTTGGCTGTACCAGCCCCTAACTGCGAAAGGTAAAGCGGTATCGGTGCGGAATTCCACCTGATATGAACACTGATGTGCTATTGGTGCGGAAGAAATCGGGCGCAAAAAGTCCGTCTTTGTTTTGGTAACCTCAAGACGGTAGCATGGGACCAGCAGCAGGCACTCTCAAATTGAAATTCAAAATCGAGGCTTATAAGAGAGGAGGCTTGATGGGATCTTCATTGCAGGAAGGTGATCCACGGACGACTAGGCTTCCCCCAAAAACACAATGAAGGGACTGTACTTCTGTGACAAGTATCACTACTTGACACCAACTGAAAAATTTGTGTATGCCACTGGCGAATGAATCGGAAATGGACGGCTGCATATTGGAGGTTGCACACAAGTGCGAACCAACTAATGGTGACTCGGTGACTTGGGAAGCGGTGAGATTAAATAGGAGAACGAAACTGTTAGAATCATTCAAACAACTCGGTTGAACTTTCTGATTGTTCACTGCATGACTTCTCGGTGGGGGCTGATTTGACCTCTCTTCAGCTACTTCCACCTCATATATGTTGAGTCAGGAAACGCTGTAATCATATCGATCCTCTGGCATTCGTTGAAGGTGAGTATGATAGCCAACTCCATGAAGCACCGTTGACTATCACGTGTTAGATTGTTTTTTTTTCAATACTATTCGACGTACCAAAGCAGCGCTAATCAGATGTTTCCATCCGACCCGAATAATGTCTAGGATAGTTTGATGGCTAAACAACCAACTGTTTGTTGTATTTGCCGGCAGGTTTCCTACCAGTATAACGTGATAAATTGGAGTGTCATACTCGCGGATGACTAGCAGCTACGGACCTCAAAGTGATAAAGGGTCCACTCCCAGCATTTTAATAACCACAGAAAATATCTGCGAGTACCATTCGGGGTGGTTTAACCGGACCGAAAATGAACAAGATGCAAAACTCACGCGGTGAAATGCTTAACCTTGGACGATGGGTAAATTTCCATGAAGTCGAACAGTAAATGCCAGCCACGGAGCTGAACAAGTTGACGAGCTATTTCCGGGGTCGAAGTCCTGCAAGCAGAAAAAAGAAAGCTAACGCGTACTAGTCTTGAGGAAGCAAACAATACGCTTGGAATAGCACGCACTACAAAAATTCCCATACGTTTATAGAATGGGCGATTCTGATTGAACAACAAATGTGCAGAAATACGAAATTTCAAGCACATTCCTAAAGCCTGAAGAAGATCAGCTGAGTACCGTGATAATCTTTTAAACAACGATGTGATTGGAGCACCTGAAAGAAGCGACCAAAACTGGCCTCTTCCTCGTCCTTGTGGGTAAAAGTTATTCATCTCTCTAACCCGATGTTCTCAGCAAAAGTAAAAGTGCACGGTTTCCTATGGAACATTCCAGCTGGATACAAAGGAAAGTTTTATCCGTTTTCTAAGACAACCGTTCGCGGTCGCAGCAAGCCGTTTGGGGGCAGTGTAGTCGTCTGCGTGTGCGTATGTAAGCACTCAATCCTCTAACACGCAGTTTCAGTCACGAGGTCGAATAGGGACTGGCTCCTCAGGAGACGATTTATTACAGAAGTCAAGGTGACATACGCCTCTCTGGAGAATTAAAAAGGATGAATGCACACAGCTCTGGTTTGAAACAACCCTAATCTTGCCTCAGACCGATTGTTCCGGACGAGAAAAAATTCAAAGATGTATCGACAATAGCCAGCCTTGTTTCATGCACCTTGTGGAGAGCTGAAATTATTTTAGGTAAGGAAAATTATCCAACTTTTCTTACTTACGTCTGTTAAATTTGGCTTCCATCAGAAGAAGTCAAAAAGCTTTCGACACTGGTGCCTTCGACAAGTTGTGAAAACTCGCAGTCTGAATGTTTCCATTTGCGAGCGACGGCAACCTACATCTTAGCTGCTTCAAAGGCGAAGTCTACAATGGTTTGAGGATCTGTTGAATAAGAACGATACTGAATTTTACAGTGCGAAGGAAAGCGCCGTCTCCTTGGAGATTTGACCCTATACGGTTAACAGCCCCCACTTTATCAATGGAGTCCGTCACTGGAACCAATACCAGATTGCGATTTGTGCAAACCTGGCGGCTAATCGTAGTCTCTGCTTGATATCTCTGAAGCCAAATAATTGTCTTAGGGTAAGCAATTAATCCGTGTTGGTGATCGCAATACACCTCGCATGTCTGGTCAAAATAGATATACAGTATTTCTTTGGTCCATACAAAGTCGGGTCACGGAAACAAGCTGGACAACACCGCCAGAGATGAACTGGACATGCTTAAGGATAAGTGTTCACCCAGTGGCCTGGCCACATGCTATGACAATGCGCTGATTCAGATAAGGACGAGTGGCATTATTTGAAATAACAAAAAAGAACTAGTGTCGTCCGTCCCTTTTTGAGTTATTTGGCTTGGAGGGGTCGTGTTTAATCAAAGGTGGGTCCTAAATAATTTAGGAAAAAGCCCGCGGGGGATTTGTAAAGTATCCACAAATGTGCGGTGTCTCCTACTCATGGGTACCTTATCGGGAAGGTTAAGCGCACCGCTCTACCCGATGGACAGAGGTCAGTTTGTTGACAGATGGATTGAGTGAGGTTCGTTGCGAACACCTCTCGGATCACTATGCTGTTGTCGAAAGTGCTCATCAAACCTGATACATTCCTACAGTAAGATGGGGTGTCGGGACCAGTGGTGTCGTCTTCGTGCTCAACTTGTGTGAAGGAGTCCCCAGAGGTGTGCGCGCGCCTCCACTTCATGGGCAGAAGGCTTGGGTTTCGATACGCTCGGTATGATACTGGAGGAGCTAGGACCGCCTGTGTCAGAGCGAAAGGCCGATGGGTTCCGATGCACGGCACACTAATCCTTCTTATAGTATCATGGGTTCTTGGATTTGTGCATTTAGCCTCCGATATCCACATCTATTTTCCCATCACGAAGAGATTGGACCTTACCGTGGTGTGACGGTTTGCGCACCTCAACGATCCATTGAGCTATACTGGAGAGTGTCCCGCGACACTCACAGAGTCTCTCATACCAGGTTGGTCAATGGTTAGAGGTCTGACGAACACAATCTCCTGGCCCTCCAGGTTGGGGGTTGGAACATGTGGCGACTTGTTCCGTAGAAATGGTAATGCATCTGCATTTCCTGCCAAACACCGCTGCCTTGCGGTTAGGCTTTTGAGCCAAAGGCTTTGGTTGAGGACCCTAATCGTCCCCCTGTCTAGGTGTGGGCGCCCTGGCAGTATCCCAGCCCACGTACAACCATGAATTGCACATACACAAATAAACTCATGCCACATCGGCCGTCGCGTGGTGATGATGATCTATTTTCTCTAATCACTAAAAACTGTTCAGCCTTTTTGCGGCACAGCTACAATGCGACTCGAAGGGATCCTGGGAATCCGGACGCCTTCGGAATTGCAAGGACTAGATACACGCAATCGGAGAGCTCGGCATGGAGTCCCACCACAGATCTCATAACAAGAGCTGGATTTTCGACCTCCGAGCTGTATCCAGCTCGAGATTAAGAAGTCAATGGTGGTGCCCATTAATCAATATTCCAGGGTGTCCAATGAAATCGACAATGAAAATCGACACTTGAGAAGCTAGTATATCATGTACTGAACAAACGATGGATGAATGATAAATGAACTAATCTCACTGCATAGGTTGGGCTGGCCTGGCTACGTGCTCCATATACCAGTCGACCGGCTTCCTTGAAGCGTTCTTTTCACACAACCGGGTGGAAAGAAGAAAGAAAGAAAGAAAGCGTTCAGCTGAAGCACCCTTCCGGTGCCTAGCTGCCATGCCACCCGAAGGGAGCATGAGGGCTGGGATACTGCCAGGTTGCCCAAGCCTAGACAGGGGAAGTCGAGTGGCGGAGGTCGGATTCGAACCACGGTTAGTAAACTCGCGCTCTAACCACTTCGGCCATCTCGCCCCAACCGGGTGGAAACGAGCCAGGGGAGATCAAACAATGACTTGACGGCGAAGTAAGAAGCCATTACGAGCAAATTCAGCTGTGCTTGTCACTGCCGCCTTCCTGGAGGGGGACCCCGAGACGGGCCACATCGACGGTTAGGGACATTGCTAGACATGGCCCAATCGAACCCTCAATGGCGCTTGCGCATCCAAGCTATCACCCTCAATGCATAGCTTCCTTCTCCATTCCCCACTTAATAGTCCAATGAAGTTGCTGTATTTACGCATCAATTTATCATATCACACCTCCAATGCGCCGCTACTTACCTCACCTTCTCAAATCATCGGTGATCGAAACTGTGGCAGCTACAATCACTGTACGACAAGTACGCGGTTCCTACAGCTGATAATGATGATGACGATGGTGGCTGAGCAAATACATCTTCGTGCAACGTGCAGTGAAGAAGAACAGTCCTGGTGCAACAGGTACTTTCCACAATAAATCGCGTGCGAGTTGTCATTTTGGTAACAGCAGTGCATCGCTATCGCAATCAGGGAATCGAAATGACTAAGAATTCCCGCAAATGAAATGATTTCGACTAAGTAATTTGTTCTTTCGGCCAGATACAACAATAAATGGAGCTAGTAGTCCACTAAAGATTGGTGCTTCATCATCATCATCATCAACGACAGGTTACACAACGAAAACACGCTTTCTAACTGCCTCGTTACGGATTCGCTGACACCAACCCACACGAGCTATGGTTCTGAGACAACGATTGTTCAAAACCTGAAGACGTCTCAGGTCCGCTGCTCGAATAGGCCAAGTCTCACAGCCATACAACAAAACAGCCCGTACTGTAG